CTCCCGGAGGAGGAAAGGGAGTCTCCCCGGATCTGCCACTTGTTGGGTCCCTCCTGGAGAAACAGTGGCCGGACTGTGCCGCCGATCACGGTTTATGGCAACCCCGAGCTGAGAGCCCGCACCTCGGCTCAGTCTCTGCAGCCGGCTTCCCCGCTCTGATACGTGGGAGCTCTTCCACACTGAGGCACCCCCGGTCTTTCTGTGATCCCGAGGGTCCTGAGACCACATTGTCCCATGATGGTTCCACCCCCCGCTTAGCCACTGGAGCGACGTCCCTCAGCGGAGCAGACTTCTAAACTTTCCAATTTTGTGCTCCATGGCTCTATCACTTGCCAGAAGCAGCTGACAGAGGCCCCCTCCCCCCGCCGTCTATCCTCCGAATATCGCCTCGGATTCACTTCTCCGCATGTCCTACCTTCCAGACAGTGGTCGCTTTTCTGTTCAGAGAGTTGCTACTATTCTTTTCTTCAATCTCCTGTTGAGTTTGTAGGTGTTTAGAATGGTTTGATCCCTATCTAGCTGAATTCCTGGGACCAGACGAAATTTAGGTCTCCTACTCCTCCGCCATCTTGCTCCTCAAGATTCGGTTTTGTTTATTTTTTAAAATTTATTTTTTTTAATTTAAATTCAAGTTAGGGTATTACTAGTTTCAGGGTAGAGTTTAGTGATTCATCAGTTGCATATAACACCCAGTGTTCATTTCAGGGGTTTTGTTTAAAGGATGGTTTCTTGTGCTTTGTCCTGTAATCTATTTTTATTTTATTCACATTAATTATTAATCTGTTATAATCTAATAAGCTATTATTAATTTGTTACAGATTAGTTTTTCAAAACTGATGTTTCCACAAGTATATTCAGAAGAACGTTAAGTCTATGTGGATATATATAGTAATTTTGCAAAAAAGGATTCCATTATTAAGTGCACTTTTGGGAGATGTTAGGATATACATATTCAACTGGTTTCTTTATTGCACAACTTCTCAGAGCCTTTATATCATACACATACATGCACACATATGCTTAATGAGTCTTCAAGAGAGTGACATTTCACAAATTTACTTGAACAAAAAACTTTTAGCAGAGTATGTCAAGGATTAATCTTTTTTAAAAAACACCTTTAAAGAGATACTAAATCATATCCTTCTTGAATCTCTGAGCATGGAGGTGGGAATTGGGAGATGTTTGTTCTACTTTGGACCTTATAAGTCACATCAGGTGTGTGGAACATATAGCCCTACTTCCTGTGGAAACAAGCATCGAGTACTATATATATATGTGACTTGTATACTTGACTCATTCTCAAACTCTGTGAGGTGTGTGTGCATTGTCCACGTTTTACTCATAGGAAACTAAGATTCTTAAAAATTGAACAGTATGACTGGAATTTGAACCCAAATTGCCTGCCTCAGAAGCTCTTACTCTTTACATTATTACACTTGACCTCTAAAGTGGAAACCACAGTGCTTGTTCTCTGTCTTTGCTTGGCTTCTGTATATGTTAAATGACCCAGTTGATATGAGAAAACTTGAATCAACCTAAAGTACCTTAAAAGGATATGGTAACAAATTTCAGTTTATATATATATATATTTTTTTAAAGATTTTATTTATTTATTTGACAGAGAGAGACACAGCGAGAGAGGGAACACAACCAGGGGAGTGGGAGAGGGAGAAGCAGGCCTCCCGTCGAGCAGGGAGCCCAGTGTGGGGCTCGGTCCCAGGACCCTGGGATCATGACCTGAGCTGAAGCCAGGCGCTTAACCGACTGAGTCACCCAGGCGCTCCCAAATTTCAGTTTATACTACCTCTTGCTGATAGGTTTAGTAGTGAAGCCTTGAGCCACAGTAACTATAGTTGAGTCTTTATTTGGAGATTTGGTTCTCTAGTCAGTGTATACTTTGAAAATTGAATATGTCAGAAATTGCCCTAGAAAGACTCTTAGGAAGTATTCCTCTTTGGAGACTGATTTCCATTTTTCAGTAAGCCATGCATTAATTTTTCCTTTAGGTTGGAAACATATCCCTGCTTCTTCCCTGGGACATCAGAGGAAGTAGTTGGTTTGGGATTTGGTGATATAAATGAAAAAATACGTTGTGTCAAACATTAGCCTCATACTGTGCCACTCACACTGTAAGAGACACTGGGGAACTTAAACTATTCCACTGGGGAACAGAACACCGCATTGAGTGCAATAACACAGATTGCCAGCACTGACTATGGTTATTTTTTCCTTTCCTCCTTTTTTTTTGGTCTGAGCACTTACAGTTAAATGTGTATATGATGCCCCTTAACTATATAACACGAACAGTCTGGGATATCTCATGGGATCCCCTAGAACCCTCTCAGTCTGGGAAGTGGTCTCTGGACAGCTTGCTACTCTTTCGCGACGTGCCTCAGCCCTTCTGTGTCAGACAACAATAAAAAACAATGGTTTTATTTACCAGCTGTTATATCTTATTTTCTCTGAGTCATAGAGTTGTCAAATTTCTGGAACAGGAGGGGCTCCTAGCTAGGATCATGCAGTGAATGTTGCAACCAGCTAATTAATTTCTCATGAATTGATGCCTGGAGGGAGGTCCTATATGAGGTCATCCTAACTGGTTGGGAGCACAGCAGCTCTTGAGCCCCGCTTTCAGTTGCATATAACACCCAGTGTTCCCTGTGCATCTGAATCCTCAGCCTCCAGCCCTGCCCCTCACTGCAGGACATATGCTTCTGGAGTTGGTTTTCTTTTCACGTGCTAATTCTGATCCTTGTACAGTGCTGATCTCCCAGCACTTTTTGGTCATGTACACCATCAACAGAATTGGAGCAGGCAATAGAATTTATAAATTGTGGGGGCGCCAAATGTAAATATGTTTGCCTCAATGTGGTTAAGTCAGTTGAGTGTCTGACTCCTGATTTCGGCTCAGGTCATGATCTCAGAGTCATGGGATCAAGCCCCACATCAGGCTCTGAGCTCAGCAGGGAGTCGGTTGGGATTCTCTCCCTCTGCCCCTCTTCTCTCTCTCTCTCTCTCTCGTAAATAAATATTTTTTTTAAAGTATTTATAGGGTGCCTGGGTGACTTAGTCGTTAAGTATCTGCCTTCGACTCAGGTCATGATCCCAGGGTCCTGGGATTGAGCCCACATGGGGCTCCCTGCTCAGCAGGAAGTCTGCTTCTCCCTCTCCCATTCCCTCTGCTTGTGTTCCTGCTCTCGCTATCTCTCTGTCAAATAAAATCTGTTGTTTTTTTTTTTAAAGATTTTATTTATTTATTTGACAGAGAGAGAGAACAAGTAGGCAGAGCGGCAGGCAGAGGGAGAGGGAGAAGCAGGCTTCCCGCCGAGCAGGAGCCTGATGCGGGGCTCGATCCCAGGACCCTGGGATCATGACCTGAGCTGAAGGCAGACGCTTAACGGCTGAGCCACCCAGGCGCCCCTCAAATAAATAAAATCTTAAAAAGAATTTATAAATTGTGTATACATACTATTATTATTATGTTACATTGAAATTTGAAGATGAGATTAGAATAATAAATGTGAACAAACGTTATACTCTCTTCCCTTACCCCATTGAATCATCTTGCATGCCCCATGGAGTCACCACTTGAATTTTGTCCGTGGTGTTGTAATATTCATTTTCTAACTTTGTACCTTGTATTATTCCGGTGTGTTTAGTCTGTTAGCCTATGAAATAACACCGTCACTGGTTATCCTGTCAGGAACCTTCAACTATTGTTTCTGGGTTTGGAGAAAATTATCCTCTTTTTTTTGAAAATACTCTTTAATTTGGTGGCTTTCCTGTTGTTATGTGTTGACATGTGCATGTAACATGTACATGCAACAACAGTTGAGGTGGTTCTGTTCTACAGGGTCACTGAGAACCCCATATTAGCAAGAAATGACTCCTTGCCCCTAAAGAAAATACAGGGCTTGGTTCCTGTGAGCCTCTGGTCACAACATTTCTGTGAACTGATCAATATGTAACCTTGTCTTATGTGTGTTTCTGTTTCCCTTATTTAATATATATTGTTGATTGATTAACATTGAGCTCACAGCCAGTGGTACTGTAACTCTGCTTTAACGAAGCCTATCTAAACACATGTATTTTCTCCCTAAGGCCTAGCACAGTTTCTTGTGCTCAGGACCACTAGGCAGCACTTCAGCATTTTGCTTGGGGGCCATTTTGAAGTGCAAAATCATCAACAGAAGGCACAAAATGCAAAAAATATGGCACTACATAGACTCTGAAAAGGATGTTTGTTTAAACTACAAGAGGTGAAATAAGGCATATTGTCACTTTGTGCTGGGAATGTGTACAATGAAGTGTTTACAGATTTTTGCCACATGCACATGTACTTATTTCTGAATGATGAGCAAAGTGCAGCAAGTATTTTGGGGTTACAAATAAGTTTTAGTGAGTAGGAGAATTTGCAAGTATGGAATCCACCAATAATGAGGACTGACAGTATAGAGTAGTAGTTACATGTATGGGCTTGGACGCTATACCGGTCTGGATTAGCATCCTGGCTCCTCTCTATGTGTTTTATGGCAAGTTAATGTCTCTGAGGGTAGGTACATATTTCCTCAGCTGTATTATGGGGATATCTACCTCATAAGGCTATTATGGACATTTAATGGGTGCTTAGCCCTTAAAAAAAAAACTTTGTAAAATGAATGAATATGTTTACGTCAATATTTCATCTACCATTCCAATAAATCTTGTTAGGGAATAGTGGGCAGGGGACATGTTTTTCATCTATGCCTTAGGAAAACTTTGTGCTTGAGAATAAAATCTTGGTAATAATTAAGAAGATCCCGTTCACTGAAAATATGAATCTGATTGGGATTTTTGCCCCTAAAATATTTTAAGTGGGGGCATGGTGGGTCCCCTAGCCAAAGGCTCTTTATAGCTGTGCTTCTCAGACTTGAGTGTATATACAAATCATTTAGGGATCTTGCTAAAATGTAGTTTCTGATTCAGGAGATCTGGAATGGGACTTGATGAACTTTTCACAGGTGCCCAGATGCTGCTGCCTTGCTGCTCCCCGTACCACACTTCAAGTATTGAGGCTTCATACACATTTGTAAGTCATACCTATATGTAGGCCTGTTAGCCCTGCTTTTTTCTAACGGTTCATTTCATATGATAAAGTAGACCAAGCAAGAGAGTATGGATGAATTAGAGGAGATCTCCATCAACATTAACAGAACCACGACCTCTTAGAGGTTAAGTTAGTTGGTTATGGAGAGAACAAGGTAATGCAGTAAGCCTGGTAGACAACAAAGCATTATACGAGTGGCCACTTCCCAGCTTTAGCAAATCATCTTCCAGAACTGAAGTGTAAAGAAAGCAGAAGCACTGTTCGTTCTTCAGGGACAAAAAGAATGTTAGCAAGGAGTTATGTGTACTTACAGGACCAACTAGATAGTACACTTGAATGTTTATTTAATTGAATGTGTATGTACGATAGGGACCTGCGTAATAAGCTTTTGGGATAGTATCCTGGCAGATGGGCAGGTAAATAGTGCTTTGCTAAACCTGTTGTATTAGTTTCCCATGGTTGCTGTAACAAAATTACCACAGACTTAGTGGTTTAAGACAATACAGACTTACCGTGTTACACTTCTGGAGGGTCAACTCTGAAATGGATCTCTCTGAGTTAAAATCAAGGTGTTGGGGGGGTTGTGTCCCTTCTGAAAATTTTAGAAAATTCTAGAAAAATTTCCCTGCCTTTCCCACTTCTAGAGGCTGCCCACATTTCCTGGTTCATGGGCCTTTCCTCTGTCTTCAGAGCCAGCAGCATAGCATCTTCAGGCCAGTCTCTCACTCTCTGAGTTTCCTACTTCTCTTTACCTTTAAGGATCCTTGTAATTATATCAGGCCCAACCACATCATTCAAGGATAATCTTCCCATCTTGATTCTTAATTTAATCATGCCCACAGTACTTTTGCCATATAAAGTAACATTCACAGGCTTTGGGATTTAGGATATGGCTATCTGAGAGTGGGGGAATTTTCCCTTCTACCATGTTTAATTAGCATAAACATTTCTAATAGATGCCTTTATAGGTTCTAGGCTACATAGGAATTAGAATTTATAATGGTTCCACTTTTGTTTTGAAATTTGTCAGTAATGGTGTTGGATGCAATCTATAATATTTTCTTTAAGACTTATAATATTTTCTTTAAGATTTGACAGATTTTTATTTTTATTTTTTATTTATTTATTTTTTAAAGATTTTATTTATTTGAGACAGAGAGAATGAGATACAGAGAGCATGAGAGGGAGGAGGGTCAGAGGGAGAAGCAGACTCCCTGCCGAGCAGGGAGCCCGATGCGGGACTCGATCCCGGGACTCCAGAATCATGACCTGAGCCGAAGGCAGTCGCTTAACCAACTGAGCCACCCAGGCGCCCAAGATTTGACAGATTTTTAAATATATTATTAATATATATGTATATAAATTCTATATATATTATGTAAATATGAATGTATATTATATATTTTTATATATATCTGCTTATATACTTTTCCTGGGGTTGGTTTAATATTTTTTGAGATACAATTTATTTTAAAACACTTTTAGAAATGAATAATGTATTCTTGATTGTTTAACGATGGTTGTAATATTATAATTCCTTTATAGTTCAGTATATTTTAGGGGATAATAATTGAGAAATGTTGAAGTTGACATTTCTTTCTCATGAAAACTGCTATGTTAATTTTATGGTCTTTTAGGAAGAGAGCTTGTGCTGTCTGATAGTATATCCTAACTCGGTTAAACATCCATTTGATAAGTATTGCGTCTAATGTTTTCAGCACTGAGAGGTATATTATGCTCATTCTGCCCTCAATAGGAAACTGCTAGAAGACAACCCTCAAGGGACAGCAAAACTTCCTTCTACCTGTGCTGTTTATTATTGACACCTGCAATTGAGTCATGTTCCCGGTCTTCATTCACTCTATGAACTTATTAGGCTTTTTCACCTGCAAGGATGAGGTTATAGGATCTGTTGTGCTTATGAAGTGGTGATGAAGATTGAATGAAGTGAATGCAAAAGCCTCTGAAAATTATAAAGCTCTGTGGAAACACTGATTATAATGCAAGAAGTACCAGACTAATACAGAAAGTGCTTGTGAAGGGTCAGTAAGGAAAACGGGGAACTAACATTTAGTGAAACCCACCTGCTCCACATTTTTTCCCACCACGATACCTCCACCTCTGCTCCTTATGACCCTAGTCAAAAATATGGTAAGAATGAGACCCAGAACATGTCTAATCTCAAAGAATCTGTGGAAGCATTGAAATGGCAGGACTGTCTTGATAAGTTGCTATTGGTGATTTGCTTCACATTCCCCCAAACCTTCCCCGTTGCTTAATACTGTCTCCCAAAGGGAGATAGACCCATGGTGGTATGTGAGCAGAGTTTTGTTGATTCAGCCAGAAACAAAGGGAAGAGCCTTTGGAGAATCATTATATTGGGTCTGAGTATATCAAGTGGATGGAAAGCACCGCCAGCCTATATTTCTGGTCTCTTATTCTAGAACCTTTTGTGTCATGGCACTTGCATGATCTTTCCTTCCCTTCTGTCACATCTGTTTGAATACCTATCATGTGCCGGTCTCTGCTAGGGATCCCAAATACTTAAGACCCAGCCATCACCCTCCTGGAACCTGGTAAGGAGGACAGGTACATAAATAGGTTGTCTTTGCACCGTGGAACTCCTTTGTGGTTTCCTGTTGGCTAAGAGAGAAAGTTTCAACTCCTGAACTTCAGTGAACAGGGTTTTCCAATTCCCTATCCCTGTATTCTGTTGCACTTCTTAGAGCTGAACATGCCTGTCCAGGTCATGCTCTTTCATGCCTCCTTGTTCCTCCAGCCTGGAATGTAATACTTTTTTTCCCCTCCAAGTGCAGGTTGGTTCCATGTACTCATTACCGTAAAAAATATTGATTGGGCTAGGCTGTGGGCATATAGAGGTGAAACTTGCTTCTGCTCTCAGAGGACTTTGTTTAAGCAGGAATTTTCGAGTCCTCTCCCCTTTTTGCAGGGCCGTGTGTTTGCCACTGCAGCACTTACTGCCTTTGGGGTTGCATTTTTTTCCTGCCTTCCACAATGCTGAGAGCTCCTTGTGGACAGAGCCTGAAGCCTTTAAAATATATATATATATATATATATATATATTTTTTTTTTTTTTTTTTTTTTTTTTTTTCAAAGACTTTATTTGCGAGAGAGAGCACGAGCGGGGAGAGGGAGAAGCAGGCTCCCACCGAGCAGGGAGCCTAACATGGGACTTGATCCCAAGACCCTGGGATCGTGACCTGAGCCGAAGGCAGATGCTTAACTGACTGAGCCACCCAGGTGCCCCTATTTATTTATTTTTTTAAGGCTTTGTTTATTTATTTGAGAGAGAGCATGTGTGTGCCTGTGCATGGGTGGGGGTGGGGCGGGCAGAGGGAGAAGGAGAGGGAGAAGCAGGCTCCCCACTGAGCGGGGAGCCTGACACGGGACTCGATCCCAGGACTCTGAGATCACGACCTGAGCCGAAGGCAGATGCTTAACCAACTGTACCACACAGGCACCCCTTTTAAAATTTTAGTAGCAACTGTTTAATTTCCTTATAAGATGGAAAGCTTGGTAGGTTATTAGGGTAATGATTTACAAGTATATAGCTTAACTTTGTACATATGAATTGATTGGGACCCAATACAACCTAAAACATAGAAATTCAGAACCACATAAGGCACATAAGGGATTCAGCCAATGTTTGGTGATGGTGATATGATGCATTCCAGAATGGGCATGGGCAGGGCTGGGATTAAGTTTCTCCTAGCCTCAGCTATCGTTGCTATTTCAAATTTCCTCAAGGTGCTGCTTTATCTTATTTGAAGTGCAACTTAGCTTAAGTGTTTCCAGAGTGACATTAGAATTTTCATTGAGCCAACATTTCTAAAACCTAGAGGTCCAAAGGAAGAAATCAGCTAAAAATGGACATTAAAAACTACGAAAGAGGGATACCTTGGCTGGCTTGGTTGGAAGAGCATGCAACTCTTGATCTCGGGGTTGTGAGTTAGAGCCCCATGTTGGGGGTGGAGTTTACTTAAAAAAAAAAATCATGAAAGATAGAAATTTTATTCACAATTAAGTTAAAAAGCTAAATATATCATGCTATGGAAACTTGTATCTGTTATTTTGTGGATAGGGGAAGTGTTTTTTCCCCCCAGATTTTTCCTCAAAATAATTCATGCTTGTTATAAATTGCAAACATTACAGAAGAATATAATATAGAGAGTAAATGTCATCTTTTGCTCCTGCCACCCAGAGATGACCATTAAAAATTTGGTGAATATTCCTTCTGATTTTTTCCTATGCATGCAGTAATTGAGATTATTAAAAGAAATGTAGTCCAATCTACTCCCCAAAAGGCACCAATTATAATATGTAACCCTCACTTTTTAAATAAATGTAGGTAGGCCTCTGTCTTGCTCAGATAAGCTTGTTTTTTGTTGTTGTTTTTATTTTGTTTTTGCTCAGATAAACTTTTTAAGGACATACTGTATTTAGCTCTGAGAAGTCCTTCCTTGTCTGATGATTCTTAAAATTTTCCATTCTTACAGCTTACCCTCATGTTCCCCCTTCACTAAAGGAAAAAAAGGCATTCTTTTTATAGTAAAAGCATATTTTTATGTAATGCTTTTGATTTTCGTGTTTATTAACTCTTTTAATTTTCAAAATTGGTTTTGGTGGAGGTAGGAGTCCGAAGAAGCCAACCCCCTGTGAGCCTGTTGTACCTGGTTCTCCATCACCGCTCTAAAGAATGTTTGGATAGTCAGTCGCCCTGTCCTCAGAGGCCCTCGTGGGGCCTCCCGGGCCCTCTTCCCAGGGGACTCCATTTCAGAAACACGGATTTCTTTCCAAAGACAGAAGTCTTTAATACCAAAAAGGGTTCTTTGTCCTCTGGGTGTGTACATGAGGGCTTCATTAACTTGATTTTGTTTTCAATGATTCCTTACGCGCCTTTTAACAAGTTCCTTTTCTTAAGTCTAAAAAGTGTGGAGCTGACACCCTTCCCTGAGTAAAGA